AAATTTATACTTTTGTTTGAGATTTTAGGCTTTCGCGGCGAATATTGTCATTAGTAATCATGGTTTCCGGATGGAAGCCGCGTCTGTGTTCAGCTTCGTGCCGACGTTTCGCAAACGTTTCAGTCTGCATCTTCAGGGCTAGGTGACTCCGATACTGAAGCTGCCTGTTGTCAGGAAGTCTTAATATACCTATGGTTGCTCATGCGGATCAGTGCTTCAGCCAATCATAAGTTGTTTTTAGTTGATCAGCTGATCAATTAAAAATCCGGGAGAACGGTGTGCCAAATGGGGTTTACTTGATATCCTCGATCCCTATTTAGGTTATCTGGGTCTTTTAATATCTCTAAACCTTCGTGATATTTTCGGGCGAAGTAACCTGTAGAACTAGCTAGCATTTCTGTCTTTTCATAATCCATTGAATGTCCAGTGTCCACCCAATGTTCTGCCAAGGCAGATTGATAAAAAATTACCGTATTTGGTACACCGTTGATGTTCTTTGACCCGTGTACTGATCTTCCTCCCGGTTTCGCCTATGTACACTTTTCCACAGGAGCAAGGGATTTTGTATACTCCTGAGGCACTCAGTGGTGGTCTACGGTCTTTCGTACTGGGAATTATTTGTCCAATCTTCTTCGGGGGTTTGAAGATTGTACGGATGTTATGTTTCCGTAGCACCTTGCTGATCCGGTCTGTTGTACCTTGGAGATACGGTAGAGCTACGATTTCCCGTCGCTCGGTTGGTTCATTAGAAGATGGGGATGGATTTTTATTTTGTAGCTTACATAATACATGGTTAATTTGTTGGCTGTAGTATCCATTCCTACCAAGGGCTTCGTTAAGATGTTTGATTTCTGTATCTAAGTGTTGTGGTTGAGAAATGGTTAGAGCCTGGTACATAAGGGAGGCTGATGACAGAGTTTTTCTGAGAAGGGTGGTGATGTGAGAGTGAAGCCCAATAAGCGGCCTATGGAATCATTAGGTCGAAAGTCGAGATCACGGTTGCACTTAATTTCGCTGCACAACGTATTATTGTTAGGTTTAATGTAAATGACGATGCTCTTGTCCGTCAACGCGCTATGCACGTAGTTTTCGATATCTTCGATCTCGTAGCAACCAGTAGGTATAGTGGTAACTTCATTCCCCACGTAGCGCTCAGAGAATTGAAGGTCAGGAACTCGATGAGTCCCAGAGCGTAATTTTTGTACGGGGAAAGCTCGATAGGCAAAGGTGTTGCCCACATACCGGTACCATACCGATGGTTTTAGGGGGGATGAAAGTAGAAGTTTGTTTTCGAAATGTTTCATGAAAATATTGGCTATAATGGGCGAGATGGGGGATCCCATTGCTGCCCCAGATATTTGTTCATAGAACTCACCTTGGTTTCTGGGGCAGCAATGGGATCCCCCATATTGCCCATTATAGCCAATATTTTCATGAAACATTTCGAAAACAAACTTCTACTTTCATCCCCCCTAAAACCATCGGTATGGTACCGGTATGTGGGCAACACCTTTGTCATCTGGAAACACGGGAAAAACACTTTGCCTCAGTTCCTAGAATACATAATCTCAATACACCCAAATATAAGGTTTACCATGGAAATTGAGAAACGGGGAGACCTCCCCTTCTTAGACGTTTTAGTCCATCGAAATGAAGATGGAAGCCTAGGCCATCAGGTGTATCGCAAACCTACCCATACTGATAGATACCTCCATGCCTTCTCACATCACCACCCTTCTCAGAAAAACTCTGTCATCAGCCTCCCTTATGTACCAGGCTCTAACCATTTCTCAACCACAACACTTAGATACAGAAATCAAACATCTTAACGAAGCCCTTGGTAGGAATGGATACTACAGCCAACAAATTAACCATGTATTATGTAAGCTACAAAATAAAAATCCATCCGATCGGCGTTGTTGTTTCGATCGATCTCTATAGCATTCATTTCGTAGCGAATCTCCTCGAAGAGATAGCATATGGCATTGTCGACCAGAGTCGTGCTCGAGGTCGCTGTGGACCCATCTTCCTTGACCAACTTTCCATACACGTGCAGCGAACTTTTGCTCGGTAATAAGCATAGGTCTTGATGTTAAACGGAGATTCGAACCTCGTCGCTGTTGTCGAAATTTGTTCATAGAACTCACCTTGGTTTCTGGGGCAGCAATGGGATCCCCCATATTGCCCATTATAGCCAATATTTTCATGAAACATTTCGAAAACAAACTTCTACTTTCATCCCCCCTAAAACCATCGGTATGGTACCGGTATGTGGGCGACACCTTTTTCATCTGGAAACACGGGAAAAACACTTTGCCTCAGTTCCTAGAATACATAATCTCAATACACCCAAATATAAGGTTTACCATGGAAATTGAGAAACGGGGAGACCTCCCCTTCTTAGACGTTTTAGTCCATCGAAATGAAGATGGAAGCCTAGGCCATCAGGTGTATCGCAAACCTACCCATACTGATAGATACCTCCATGCCTTCTCACATCACCACCCTTCTCAGAAAAACTCTGTCATCAGCCTCCCTTATGTACCAGGCTCTAACCATTTCTCAACCACAACACTTAGATACAGAAATCAAACATCTTAACGAAGCCCTTGGTAGGAATGGATACTACAGCCAACAAATTAACCATGTATTATGTAAGCTACAAAATAAAAATCCATCCGATCGGCGTTGTTGTTTCGATCGATCTCTATAGCATTCATTTCGTAGCGAATCTCCTCGAAGAGATAGCATATGGCATTGTCGACCAGAGTCGTGCTCGAGGTCGCTGTGGACCCATCTTCCTTGACCAACTTTCCATACACGTGCAGCGAACTTTTGCTCGGTAATAAGCATAGGTCTTGATGTTAAACGGAGATTCGAACCTCGTCGCTGTTGTCGAACGTTGACGAGGCGTAAGGTTGATCCGCATACGCTCCAGCGGCGCTGAGACCCGCAAACACAGGAACGAGAAACGGCAGGAAGCCTTCGACTTTGGATGGCACTGGTAGAACCCGCGGTGTGCGGACGTTACGCTTTCCACCCGCTCGTTTGACGGTAGCTTGTGCGCCCTTGAGAGCGGATCTGATAGCTACTCCTGCATCGTTGCTAGGAATCATCGATCGTTTGGCTTCCTCGATGACTTTCCTCAGCGTTACAGTCTTTGGCTTCTTCTTGAGTCCCATACCGAGTTTCGACTTGGCACCCATTACGTTCGCTACGGACCAGGCCGCCGCCTTCTCGGCGACACTCGCGTCTTTATCGAAAACGCGCTTCCAAGCCTTGTCAGCGAGTACCCTGTCCGCCGCCACTCTGTGTTCGAGACTCTCTCGATTCTTCGAGTAAGCGGTGTCGTGCTCTGTTCCAGTATGGAGGAGGTGCCTGGTAAAGTCAACGTGAATGAATCCTCCATGATTACAAACGCTCGACTGACCTTGTGAAATTACATAGCAAGATTATATAGACGATACTTGTTTTTACGATTTAATTGTCCGCATAGGAACTTTAAACACAAGTGTACACATGCAAAAGTATCGTACTCCTGATATCGCTCGTAATTTTACTTCACACTACCAACACCGAGATATCCGATAAGATCTAGCGGCGGTCGAAGATTGCCCAAACTGTCGAAATAAACGACTCCATCGTTCAGCTTCTTGTAAGCGACCCAATGTGTTCCTGGACCATCTTCGTCGTCGAGATTGACGATTGCCGACTCGTACTTGTACGGCCCATCCAATACTCCACGAAAATGTGGAATCTTCATGATCTTGGCGTAGTAGATCCGCATCGGACAACGCTCGGCGTAGTAGTTTCATTTCAAATTTTTTGATTTCAGATGAAGGCCTAGTCCTTTTTTGTAGGGTTTCAAGTACAGTCCTTTGCCTAACGCGATGGCTTTCATCGTCTCGTTGTGCCTCTGACTTTCCTTCAGTTGTTCCTTGTTTGCATTCGCATCGTTCACGGCTTTGGCTATACCTGCAGCACCGCCGGACAACGCTCCAGCGGCGCTGAGACCCGCAAACACAGGAACGAGAAACGGCAGGAAGCCTTCGACTTTGGATGGCACTGGTAGAACCCGCGGTGTGCGGACGTTACGCTTTCCACCCGCTCGTTTGACGGTAGCTTGTGCGCCCTTGAGAGCGGATCTGATAGCTACTCCTGCATCGTTGCTAGGAATCATCGATCGTTTGGCTTCCTCGATGACTTTCCTCAGCGTTACAGTCTTTGGCTTCTTCTTGAGTCCCATACCGAGTTTCGACTTGGCACCCATTACGTTCGCTACGGACCAGGCCGCCGCCTTCTCGGCGACACTCGCGTCTTTATCGAAAACGCGCTTCCAAGCCTTGTCAGCGAGTACCCTGTCCGCCGCCACTCTGTGTTCGAGACTCTCTCGATTCTTCGAGTAAGCGGTGTCGTGCTCTTTGCAGGCTGCGTGCAGGGGGTTGATGCCCGGATCGTCTCGCGCGAGTCCCTTTGCTAGTTTCGTACCGGGCCCACAGTACTGATAACCGGGTATATGTACGGTGTCGAGTACTTTCCCTTTACGGAACACGAGCAGGTGCTGCTACCGAACGAGGCACGTCGAAACTCGATAATTATTTACGACGACATTGCCTGCGAGAAGCAAGATAACATCAGAGCCTTCTTCAGCATGGGGCGGCACAGGGACGTTGACTGTTTCTATCTCTGTCAAACGTACGCTCGCATTCCCAAACATCTGGTACGGGACAATGCTAATCTGCTGGTGCTCTTTAAGCAGGATGAAATGAATCTCAAGCACGTGTACGATGACCATATATACACTGATATGACTTACGCACACTTTAAAGACCTGTGTTTGACATGCTGGAACGGTGATACGTACGGGTTTCTCGTGATCGACAAGGACTGCGAGCTCGACGGTGGTAGATACAGAAAAGGATTCGATTGCTTCGTGAGCATAAATGAATGATCGTTGAAAAAAATAAACGCAGTAGCGTTTTGTATTCAGCAGCGTCAACATGCAACGCAGAAAACTTCAGGAGCAAAAAGACGTCCTACGCCAAATTGCTAAAGCCAGCGATGCGATTCGCAAAAAGCATAGAATGCTAAAATTGGATAGAGAGAACATCGAACAGACGATGAGTGAGTGACGGATGATACGTTTAGATCGGCAGATAAATCCTTCAAGTCGCTAAAGAATGATTCTTTCGAGAGAGTCGATGATGAACAAGTAGAAGATGAAGACGAAGAAGAAGAAGGTAAATATGTTGACGAAGAAGAAGAAGGAGATAATAATGACGCGGACGTACCCGTTGATCAGAACGATCCTATGCAACGGTATCTTAATATGCTGCTATCGAGGCAGAATAAACAATTGGATACCGCCTATGGTGTACGTAAATTCATCAAGAACAGATTGATGATAGGCGATTCCCCCATCAGCTTTGAGGGTGATCCAAACCATGTAGGCGATACGACTTACTTGAAAACTGCGGATTTGACCGAACTCTTGTTCAGGAAGGTACCTGACGAGACTAGTATAACCCAGGATGACTTGAACAATTACAAAAACATTATTTTAACGACGAATGCACATAGAAAGTACTATACACCTGATGGTGCAATTCGTAAGAGCAAGAGTTTCAAATTTAATAACGTTATTGCAAAACTGATCGAATAGCCCTCTGTAACGGGTAAAGGTATAGTACCGCGGTACATGATCGCTGTCAAGGATGAAGACCTGCCAGGAGGAATTATCAACGCCGCCACGTTGACGTCCGCGGGCTGGACGAGACTTGACCAGCGGATCTCGTTGACATGTCAGCGTACGAAAGAGAGAACAATGGATACATGTATCTGTTCACCGTCGTCGACATATTTTCAAAGTTTGCTTGGGCCGTGCCTACGAAGAGCAAGAACGCTAAAGACGTGACAGCAGCTATGAGATCTGTACTGGCGAAGGGTCGAATCCCGAAGAAATTGCATGTTGACCAAGGTCGAGAGTTTTACAATTCCGAATTCAAAGATCTTATGCAAAAACACGGTATTACCCTGTACTCAACATTCAGTAACTTGAAGGCATCGATCTGCGAGCGCTTTAATCGTACTTTGAAAAGTGAGATGTGGATGCAGTTTAGCCTAAAGGGCAATCACCGGTGGCTGGGATATCTTATCGGACTTGGTATCCTCTTACAATAACAGTAAGCATCGCACCATTGGTATGAAGCCGGCAGATGTGACTGCTCGTAACAAGAAGGAATGACTACAACGGGTGTACAAGAAATTCAAAGTCAAGTCCACACTTAAACGATCAAAGTTTAAAGTCGGCGACAGATTACGAATCAGCAAATTTAAACTCATTTTCGAAAAGGGCTACACACCCAATTGGACAACCGAAATTTTCACCGTAAGTCGAGTGAAGAATACCGATCCAGTGACGTAGAATCTCAAGGACTACCAGGATCATCTCATCGAAGGCGGTTTCTACGAATATGAACTTACCAGCGTCAAGTATCCCGACATACATATGTATATCTTGTGGAAAAGGTACTGAGGAAACGTGGAAACAAGCTATTTGTGAAATGGTTAGGTTTCGATGGTTCGCATAATAGTTGAATCGATAAGTCTGATTTTTAAGGTGTTTGAAATAAACCAGAACTAAAATATTTGTTACGTCTTATTATTTATATTTTTTTACATTTGTACATTCTTATTATTATATTCTTATACATACTACATGTATAATTCTTATACATGTTACATTTTATAACCCCACGGGTGTCGGGGTTATCAGGAAGAATGACCTTTTTATCGTCATTCCAGCTCAGTGCTATTTTTTGTTGTTGTACGGTATAATCTTTATGTTTTTTACTCTGAATTAAATTTTGAGTTTTAACTAAATTTGTGTGGTATGAAAGACATTGCTTATAATCGTTAAAAGTGATTGTCTTTAGCGTAGATCCTTTTACTCCCTTAGCTCGCTTTTTATCTTTGCCTTCTCCTAACACTCTGAATGAATACAATTTTGCTCGTAATCCTATAACTTCAGTCATAATTTTCCCATTGTTTTCATCCTTCATCAGAACCAATATTTTTTTATTTGCTAGTGGTATGCCGTAAACATTATTTGGGGAATAGTCCGAAGTATCGAATTTATCTAGATCACGTTTGATATAGTCATATATGTTTGGAACAGTAAAATGATAAAGAAGACTGTCAGTATCAGTATACATTAATTTACCTTGGTTACCAAACGTATTCTTTATGTAATTATAATGGAAGTCATTAATATATATTTTGGAGAGATCGAGAATGGAAAATCCTACATATATTGGCTTATTAAATTCAATCTTAACACGACTTAACTTGATTATTACCATATCTTCGTCGAAGACAGTGCAGCTATGGAAATTTGGTTTCGCTATAAGAGCCTTTGCTCCATACCTTCCATCCCATTTCGTAATGTGTCTAACATCTTTTTGTTTTCTAAGATTTTCCATTGTCTTGCCAAAAACCGCGTTATTCATAAGTTTAAAGAAGTTCTTTTCAAAATCATTATTCGACTTTTTTCTCATTTCAGTGTTCAATTCTATGTACTTTTTGAGTCATGGTGACTGCCTAAATTTTAGAACACGGTGAATTTTCGTTAACTTTATACCCAATGTCAAACACTGTTTCAAATGTCGATAATGAATTATGTATCTTTCTTTTGGGAGGAGTGTTGTCATGAATTTTGATTTGTTAGATCCTGGAGGAGTATATTGCTCTGGACATAGTGGTAAATCTCTATGGAGTTCTTGAAGTTCAATTGGATATTCTATATCAACTTCGAGTATATAACCCGTAAGAGAATCATCGGGAATATTGCAAATATGTAGTTTTTCACAATTTTCCTCTCACTCGAACGAGTCGAATGGCATAAATTGGCTCATAACTGCACCGTACAAGTTATTTACATCGTAGTACATAAGATATGATTCAACTTTTCTTGGATCGAACTCTGCACCCATAAATCTGTTGTTCGCTTTGGCATATCTGTTTGAGCATTGAACTACGCCACCTTGAATTCCTCTCTTAATGAATAGCAACATCTCTACGTGGGTTAACAACTCAAGTTCAACGCCAGTACACTTGAGCATAGCATCAAACGCAAGGCCGGGTGCGGTATAATAATGAAGAGGATCTAAATTGTATATAGAGGAGCAATTACGTCTGAAATTTTCAAAAATGTCAGCCAAAAGTAAAAAAAATCCGTTTTCAAATGCAAATCAGAATATTCACCTAATGTTTTTGTGTGAAAAGTTTGCCAAACTGTAGATGCATGTATATAATCTGAGTCTGAAATTTCTTCATTATTTAATTCCAAATAAAATTTTTCTTTAGGTCTTAATGCTCATCATCGAGTTTTGTCCAACTGTCCACGTAATCGTAAGGAAAAACACCTTTTCTCGTTAATAAGGTAAACTCTTCTTCATTGCTGCAACGCTTACATATAATTAATTTTTCACTACTTTTCAGATACGAGGCTAGTTTATCAATACTGCTCGGCATAAACCTAAATGAATCGATAAATCTGAATTTTACGATTGTATCTTTAACGCTTTTCGTAAAGGATATATATCATTCTTTGTTTACTGGCAATAAGTTCATTGAACCTTCGAAGGATGTTGCTAAGGCTTTAATCAAGAAATGCGAGTCATAACCAGAGAAGTTATGAAACATAACAGGATTGGTACGCAAGTTCTTATAATTTAAATTACAACTCCGATGCGCAGCACCTCGATATTTACCCGTAAAATGGCAATGATCGCGATGCTTGATATCTTCAGACGTGAACGATTTTTCACAAATGTGGCAAGTCTGTGTAGAATAAAATTCATTTTTCTGTTGAAAATTCAATGGTTCCATAGATACGTTGTGTTTAAGGTGAAATTCTCGAATTGAGCTAGCTCTTTTAATTCGTTAACAAACCACTGTATACAATTATTTCCAAGATTGGCTTTAAATTTGGAGATGAAGTCGTCAAAGTTACACTGTAGATAGTACGCGATGCTGTGTGGAACAAGCTTCTGATAGACTGTTATGCTTGACGATTTAGAAACATTCATTACCGACTAAAATACACTCAATCCAACAAAAAACACTTACGTGTAAAAAACTAAGCCAAGTACAGGAGTGCTGTGTATTCCTTTAATAAAAAGTATTGATATCAGATCATTGAGGCCAAGTAAATAAGTCACTACATGTTTGCCTATTATATGATCTAGCACTGGCCCATCATTTTAATTGTATTTTCAAAATTTCCTATAACGTTTTCACTACTCTTGTATATTACTACTGCTTCTCGTAGTTGATTATGATTTAATGGTTATTTAATAACTAATAAAACTTTAGCTGATTCCTTATCGAGTATTACTTGGCGGGTCCGTGCCAGGAATTCCAAAGTACTTACTTTGAACGTACTAATAGTATCCTAAAACTATATGTTTGTTATTAAGCTTTTACCGTGATTATTTTTGACGAGTTATTGTTAATAAGCTCTATATAGAAAGTTGACATTGGTTTTGAGTTTGATGAGTGGTATAATGAACGCAAATTTATATCAAGAAATGCACGGACCCGCCAAGTAGTACTCGATAAGGAATCACCTAAAGTTTTATTAATTAATAAATCACCATTAAATCATAATTAAATACGGGAAGCAGTAGTAACATAAAAGAGTAGCGAAAACGTTATAGGAAATATTGAAAATATAATTAAAATGATGGGCCAGTGCTAGATCATATAATAGGCAAACATGTAGTGACTTATTTACTTGGCCTCAATGATCTGATATCAATACTTTTTATTAAAGGAATACACAGCACTCCTGTACTTGGCTTAGTTTTTTACACGTAAGTGTTTTTTGTTGGATTGAGTGTATTTTAGTCGGTAATGAATGTTTCTAAATCGTCAAGCATAACAGTCTATCAGAAGCTTGTTCCACACAGCATCGCGTACTATCTACAGTGTAACTTTGACGACTTCATCTCCAAATTTAAAGCCAATCTTGGAAATAATTGTATACAGTGGTTTGTTAACGAATTAAAAGAGCTAGCTCAATTCGAGAATTTCACCTTAAACACAACGTATCTATGGAACCATTGAATTTTCAACAGAAAAATGAAGTCCTCAACGGGACATGGAAGCTCTGAGCACTGAAATCTATATTGTCACAGATATAAAATGTAAATGCATTATGATGTCGCTAATCAGAAAAATATATTGCGTTGTGGAAAATGTTTAACGGCATATAAATTTAATTTGTAAGTCCCTTTTTCTAGAAATGCATAAAGACATACAAATTTTTAAAGAAAATGTAAGAGAGGAAAGTGTGCTGGATTATTTACGTACCTCAGGCCGTGCGAACATCAGAGAGGATACTATAGTTTGAGCGAAGCGCCAAAGCGACGCTCGTTGCACACTTTTCTGGACTTCTATGTCCAACACCTAGATACAAGAAACTACGGAACAGAACACCTGGACACCCTGAACTTCCACATCCGACACCTAAATACAGAAAACTACGGAGCGGAACACCTGGACACACTGGACTTCCACGCCCGGCACCTAGATACAGGAAAGTACGGAGCGGAACACCTGGACATCCTGTATCCCTAAAAGCTGTCATCTAAAATACGAGAAACTATATCGAAGCACATACATACATACACCCATACACGCGCGCCCCACATGAACGCTATTAAAAACTTAATAATTCTATACTGTTGTGAAAGCACCCTTATACTAACTAGAAATTCGGTATAAACGGTAGCTTCACGTGTAAAGTGTATTTGATTGTGTTGTGTATTCGTAACTTACTAACACCATACAGAGTACAAATAGGTAAAGAAGACAAAGCAGTCAGCGCCATCTGTCGTGTAAAAAAGTCGATGGACGTGCGAAGACGACGACAACGACGACGACGGACCTGAAATAAAATCATTTCGCTCGCTATGAGAATACGTCCGGATCCTGTACACTAATCGTATTGAATTTGGTGGCAATGAATTCAGAACCCTTGATTCCTACATTCTCACATACAGCCGTTCATAAGATATTTGAGTCGAAACACAGGTACAAGAGATCCCCCAAAAAACACTTACGTGTAAAAAACTACGCCAAGTACAGGATTGCTGTGAATTCCTCTAACAAAAAGTATTGATATCATATTATTGAGGCCAAGTACATAAGTCACTACATGTTTTCCTATTATATGATCTAGCACTGGCCCATCATTTTAATTATATTTTCAATATTTCCTATAACGTTTTCGCTACTTTTTTATGTTACTACTGCTTCCCGTATTTAATTACGATTTAATGGTGATTTAATAATTAATAAAACTTTAGATGATTCCTTATCGAGTACTACTTGGCGGGTCCGTGCATTTCTTGATATAAATTTGGTACAAAACCAGTACCAATTTCCTATAGAAAGCATATTAACAATAACTCGTCAAAAATAAACACGGTAAAAGCTTAATAACAAACATACAGCATTAGAATACTATGAGCACGTATAAAGAGTAAGTACTTTGGAATTCCTGGCACAGACCCGCCAAGTAGTACTCGATAAGGAATCACATAAAGTTTTAT